TCTCAGCCCCTACACGCTGTGGAATAGAACATGCGATGAAGGCAGAGGATGATTATTGCAGCGAACTACGTGATGATGACGGAGAGCCACAGCTGAAGTAAGGTGTGATCCGGACATAGTTGCGCGCCTGACATCAGGATCCTTAGATATGGACTTCATTGTTGTAAGCTTTATGTTAACGTGTGCGATTTTTACTGTTTGGTTCAAACGTATGAAATCATTTCTGCAGGCGGTCGATGGTATTGTAAAAGCCGTCGAGAACTTCACCAACACTTTCCACAACTATCAGGAGAGTGCTTATTTCATATTCGGGCAAGGATATGGGAGTATTTATGCAATATTAGCCTCTCAACGACTGCTGAATGTAAATTTCTCTTCGTAATGAGTATTCGTTGAATTTTGTAAAGTCTTTTCGTAATCTGTAAAAAATTAAAGTGTTCTCGAAATTTTCAGAGCAAAACTGGTATAAAACTGAAGAGAGTGGGCTTGGAAAATTCGCTTCTGAGCTATACTTTAATCAATATCATGCCGAACGAAATGTACTTCAGTGGGCTACTTGGCAGAGAGTAATGCTTTTCTCCGTTCACAGATATTTACATTGAACAATAGTTGTGTTACTGCTGTGATGGCTTCTTTCAGTGTCATCCCAAAGCGACGAAGAATCCCAGTGTTATCGTTCTAATGCATCTTTTCACCGGGAGCTCGACGTCTCGCGCGTTTTTTTAACTTGTATGTGCATCATTCACCAACTAGCTGCCTTTGCTGTATACATCAACCTCGCCAGTGTGTCCATTCCATAGACTTACACTAATTCGCTTAGTAAATCGTAAACGTTCTCTTCCGAAAACTCGCCTCGACAAGCTTTTTTTCAAACGGTTCCATTTTTCAAACAAATAAGAGATCGTCTGTGTAGTACAAGCTTTCGGTGCTCTTGTTAGTGCTTTTGCATTAGAAATATTTTCTGCTAATTTTTTCAGAAAATCTTAAGAACTGCCTTTATCAAAAAGCGAAAAATTTTGCTATTTTTATGACTGTTTGACTCGATAGAAAGCATTGAAATTATTACAGTGAGTGGGGTCAGCTAATACAGTGTTGTTGGAACAAAAGCGGCGTTTACCAGAACCCATGCTACTACTCGCGTTTTGTAACAGTTGATGACCAAGGTGTAGTACATCCGAAAAACGAGAACTGCACATGTTCGCAACTTGTTGCCGACTTTGCCTTCCATGGAGTTCTGGAGAGTAGGTATATTTTGATTTCCAAAGTATTAATCTGTTCAAATATTTCTTGCTTTGTACAGGAAATTAGAGACTTTCTTATTTACTCACGCATCCACAAATTTATAGCTCAAGTAATAGACGTTTGCAATAGGCACTCTCATCCATTCCAGCTCGTGCCCTCACACTTATTTACCCAACGAAGGTCAACTGTTCGTTCACTTTTTATGCATTTTTACACATAACCAAATGCATTAAAACGCATACAGTAACGACTCCTGTGTGTGTGTGCCCATACATATACGTATGTATGGACACACACACATATATATGTATATGTACATGTATATATGCGTGTGTGTCTGTCCGGATATTTCAATTTGAAATCCAAGCAAGCTCTGATGCTAAAATTTTGCCAACGGGTCTCTCAGTCAAGTCCACCTTAGGACGGCGGTGCCAGCCCCTATGCGCGCCTGGGCCTCATGTACTGTCACGTGGAAGTTTTGGCCGGAAAACTGCTGCCTCGGAAACCAGAAAAGCTGGGACACGGGGAGGGCTGAAATCTTCAGCGGATGTTCCCAGCTCAAGCACGACTTAATGATTTCAAATTCAGCCCTTGTTACGCGTGATACCCACGTACGGCCCAGTGGAAATTTTTGGAGGGAGAATCGCCAACTCGGGAACCAGAAGCTGAAATTATGAGAGAATGTTTCTCGTCCACGTACAGCTTAAAGATTTTAAATTCAGCCTCTAGATGTTCCTGGTTTCCATGTACGGCCCCATCAAATTTTCTGGCGGAAAGATCGCTAACTCGAAAACTTTTATGAGGATGTTCCTAGCCACTTAAGGATTTCAAATTCACCTCTTCATCCCCTCTTCACAATATGCAAATTTTTTTGGAGGAAAAGATTTTGAAAACTGGATAACGTCGAAAC